CCCCTCGCCTCCCCCAGGCCCCAGGCCCACGGCGGGCCCACCTGCCGCCTCCTCCTGTAGGACCCCGAGGACAGAGGGGACCCGGGGCCTCGGGTTACACGGGGGACAAACCAGCCCCCTTCAAGCCTCTCCTCCCCCAAACCCAGGACAGAGCAGCAAAGGTGTGAAAAGAAGGGATGCGGGAGGGAGGCAGGGAGAGAAGGCACAACCCCCCAGAGGAGAGCAGGAGAGACCAGCACATGGGGACCCCAGCACCACGGGGGTACACAGTGGATGGGAGGGCGGGGCCACAGCCAGGGCTTGGGGTGGGGAGACCGAGCAGGGGCAGCCGGTGCCTCCCTCTGTCCCTCCAATCTGCTGAGAGGCCGAGCGGGCGGCACACCCAGGTCCCTCTGCAGGGGGGTGAGGCGGAACGCGTGTGCGCATGCGTGTGAGTGAGCGTGAGAGAGTGCGTGTGCATGTGTGTGAACAGCAGGGTGGGCGAGGATCCCCTCCATGCCCACCCGACACAGCCGAGGCCTGGCCCTGCCCTGGGGGAGCCCCGAGGTCTGACGCTGGAGAAGGGGAGCCCCAGAGGCTCCAGGTTGGGGGGAGCCGTGGGCTGCCCTCCCCCCTGGACAGTGGACTGGGCACTCCTTGCAGAGACCCTGAGTGGCCCGGAGAAGCTCCAGGCGCTGGCGCCAGGGACCCTCATTGAAGAGGAGGCTTCGGCCCGGCCGGCGGGGCTCCGTGGTTGAGTGTCGACATGTGAACCAGGAGGTCACGGTTCGATTCCCGGTCGGGGCACAGGCCCGGGTTGCGGACTCCAATGACTCTCTCATTGATGTTTCTATCTCTCTCCCCCTCTCCCTTCCTCTCTGAAGTCAATAAAAACGTATTTTAAAACTAGTAGAGAGGTGACAGAAAGACAGAGAAGAGACAGATACCATTCGTGACAGCTCAACGGAAAACTGGGCAACCAGAAAAAATACGATTTACAACCGACTCCAGGAAACAGGAAACAGGACACTGCCTGCCCAGGAGTTAGCATGTTAACGTCGTCCTATCGCAGACACTGACCACGGGCTTAACCAAGAAGTGAAGCAAGACACAGTCCCGCCAGGAAGCAGCAGGCGTGGGGGAGCCCGCTGCACGGCGCTGGAGGCCCCTCGGCCCCTCAGGAGCCCTGCCAGGGACGGGGACGCAGCTGTGACCCCGTGAATGAGAGCGAGTGCGTGGAGGCTGCGGTCAGAGGCCAGAGGCCGGCTCCTCTCCCAGGTCCCGACTCCAAGGTTCGGCCTCAGGGGGCCGGCCTTCAGCCCCAAATCCCCTCTTTCCTCCTGCACAGCCTCCGAGGTTCTGGGGCTGGTGGGGGCACAGCCTGGACCCCCATGGCACACGGGCCCCGGGGGGCAGCGTCGGTGAATAAACAAATAGCCCAGCCTGGCTCTGACCTTCAAGTTCCTGGAGGGGCCCTGGCTGATGGCTCAGCTTCTCCCAAGAGGCGCCTGGAGGTCAGGCAGCACATCCTGCCTGCTGAGCTGGGTGCCGTCTCCGCCCCGGCGCCCACCCAGGGGGGGCACAGAGCAGGCTGAGGAGGGCTGCCCTAATTACAGGAACTCCACGAACCGGGGAACCCTGTCAAGGGGGACCCCTTCCCTTCCAGTGACCGAAGGGAAGCAGGCGAGTCCGGGGCAGGGCCCAGGCTCCCAGACCCTCGGTGCTGGGCCGGACCCTACACAAGGGCAGCCTCGCCTCACTGTCCCCACCCAGACCCCCGGCCCGAGGGCCATGCT